GATAAAGATATTAAAGAGAACTGGCCCCAGCACCAAGCCCTGGGGGACACCACTTGTGACCAGACACCAACTGGATTTAGCTCCATTCACCACTGCTCTCTGGGCACGGCCATTCAGCCAGTTTTTTACCCAGCAAAGAATACACCTGTACAGACCATGAGCAGCCAGTTTCTCCAGGAGAATGCTGTGGGAAACGGTGTCAAAAGCTTTGCTAAAATCCAAGTAGATAACATCCACAGCTTTTTCCTCATCCACTAAGAGGGTCACCTTTTCATAGAAGGAGATCAGGTTTGTCAGGCATGACCTGCCTTTCACAAACCCATGCTGACTGGACCTGATCACCCTATTCTCCTGCATGTGCCGTGTAATGGCACTGAGGATGATCTGTTCCATGACCTTTCCAGGTACTGAGTTCAGACTGACCAGTCTATAGTTCCCTGGATCCTCCTTCCGGCCCTTCTTGTGGATGGGTGTCACATTTGCCAACCTCCAATCAGCTGGGACCTCCCCGGTTTACCAGGACTGCTGAGAGATGATGCAAAAAAGCTAATGATGCAAAATGATTCCTTTCACTAACTTTTCTCTGCTATGTGTACTTACAAGTAATTTTCTGAACACAGCCATGAAAGCTAAAAGGGAAAAAAAAAAATGGAAAAAAAAAAAGGAAACTGGAGAGAGAAATATTTCCAGTTTCCCATGCGGGGTTTTTGTGCATTACTTAATCCAGTCCTAGGGTTGGAGAAACCTTTTGTCTTGTGAAGTTATAGATTATGAAGTAAGGTCTTTAATATTACAAGGAGAACATATCATAATATATTCTATGTTATTGTCTGGAATTTGTTTGTATGAAATCTGTTCAGATTATTTTAAGCAGTTTCCAAATGGTAATTCTTTTTTTTTTTTTCTGATTTGAAAATTCACCTTGTTTCACCTCTGATACCTGCCAGTTTAGGTGATCCTAAATAGGTGCTGGGAATTAAAATATGCAAAAAAAGGTTTGAAGACTTTTAAAATATGAAGCATGTAAAGGACACATGATATTGTGGCTTAATGTAAGGGCTTACTGGAACTAGTTTGCATTCAAACAGAGTTTGAATTTACATAGATTCTTCCTTAGATTCCATATTAGCACCTGTGCTAGTAGCACTAGTGTTTATGAGATTTTTAAAAAAGACTAGTTGGAAAGGGGCTTTGCAAAGTCAGTTATGCTCTTCGTACAACAAGCTGCTTGAAAATTGGAGCATTTAGTCCTGAATGCTTCTTGAATATGTCTGTAATAATGTATAGTTTCATTTCACTTTGTGCTGGAAAACACAACAAATTATACCGTGGGAGGGTTTTGAGCTTATGAGATCGGTTTTCCCCAGTAGCCAAGTTCTGTTCCTGGGAGACATCAGGAGGTGAACAGAGCAGTAGTCTGGCCTGCATATGAGTTAGAACAGCCAAGAGGTTTCTTCAACTCACACGCAAAGGTACATTAAACCAATGGAAAATAAGTAAGGCAGATTTCCACTCCAACCTGCCAGTTTCATTCTTTGATAAGCCCCATATGGTAGGATTGGCAAATAGCTGATGGAGGACATCTTACCTGCCTACTGATTTGAACCCTCCACTTAGTTGGTTTTCCTAACTGAGATCTGCTCCTGAAATCCTGGCAACAAATTGTTTTCGGATTTGTAGTCTGCTTACTACCCCAATTTCAAATAACGCGAGTGCATCTTTTTTTATTTCTGGTCTGGTATTTGATTATCAAGTGGCTTGTTTTCCTTCAGGAACAAAAGAAATGTAGCTGAATTTCAGACTGTTTGGAATGCCCGAAGGCGTAATGCAGAGATGTAGATATACATCAACTGTCACACAAAAAAGACATCTCTTAGTCTTCATATTCTATGGTTTTCTTATGGTATTCAGGTAGTTAATTGTTTTATCTGATGGTTCCCAGTGTATCTAGTATCCTGTTCACGCTCTATGAATAAATGCTTGCTTGTGTATTGCACTTCTTAGTCATTACATAACGTTGACTTTTGCTAATTGTAAACCAGCAATTATGCATACAAAGTATAATCAACTTAGTCAGCAGAGGCAGCAATGTTCTTACTAAAAATAAATTATTTGCATTGCATAGTACCATCTACTGTTGATACCAGAAATACCCTTTCTT